TTTGGATTTKCTGCAAACTGCGCACGCATTCATCTTTGTTTTTATTGGTCTTTTCCACCGACTCGCGGCAATCATAAATTTGTAGCAAATTTTCATAGTTTAATTAATCACTACAAAATATGTTTCATCTAGACGACTGCAGTGCTCTTTTTGAATMTTTTTTTATTTTATTTTTTTCCTTTATTAGTAGACTTTGTTTAACCTTGCGCATTCCGCCATTGCTAAGCAAATAGAATTTGATCAAGATAACTAAKTATGTTACATGATGGCCGTAACTTATTTTTATTAAATGCAACTACCGTATGTCCCTCTCCCATATCATGTGTCATTCAAAACATTTTTAGCAAAATCAAAAGGGGCAAAAATTCGAGCAAGTTTGTTGCGTGGTCGGGGGTCGTGTCAAGTTGGCCGTCACGCTGTCGAGGGGAATATAAACACACCAAGGGACCATACAACCTTTTCAAAACACCACATGAAAATACAGGGGAATGCGTTTGTAGCMGTGGTGTTCGCTTCCCTATAAAGTGATTGCCGCTTTGATAGATTTTGGACCGAATTCCGTTTATATTTGATCTTTGTGCACAGTCAAGTGCATGATGGGAGGAATGACACGTTGGCGCAGATGTGCCATTTTCACATAGTCAAAGCAAGTAAAGTAAATAAAGAGATGTAAAACTTTTTGAAGTAATTCTTTGTAGTTATTCACTTAAGGACTCGATTTCAACGCTAAAACGAACTTTCTTTAAAGGAATTGTGCTGYATTAGCAAATTGATAGATTACTCAACTGTTGCTTTGTTTTTGAATTGAGATTTATTTTGATATCACTATTTCGCCGAGTTCATTATTTAGTTTATCATATCTAAAGGTACAAAATAGTTTGACGTTTATTAACCATAGTGTCATCCGAGTTCTTGAGTGTTTTTTTTTTTGTGGAAAATGTTTTTACAACAGCATGTGCGAAAAGAAGCAATATATTGTCAAATACTTGTTTCGTTTTTTATCAAAATATCCATGATKAAGACTCAAATAACACTTTTCGTCATTCTGAAAAGTTTTCATCATTTTGAATGTCTAATTTTAAAAGGTAAACAACTCGAAATACGCAATGTCGCTCAAGTGATATTGATCAAAGGCTCGACAACTATCACGCAAAGCTTCACAATAGACGAAGTAGGCTTGATYAAACATTCGACAAATCTCACGCAAAGCATCACATATAGAATAAACAATTATAATTTGATCAAAGATTCGACAGCTCTCTCACACTTATCGTGATTATCACGCAACAAAGAAGCAATCAAATTTTTAGTTCTCATAATTAAGACAGTTCTACCCCTCTCCCCCTCCTCCCGAATCAGCACATTAATTAAGACACCTTGAAATGTGGATTTCGCTCGACCGTTTGAGTTCGCATACTCACAAAAACTTCGGACAGTTTACCGCTGTGCAACTAAAAGAAGAATCGCTGAGTACAGTATAAAGAGTCGGGAGGGAAAGGGGGTATGTTAGGAGAATATATGGCACAATCAGAAAGTACACAGGCTATAACATATAGTACCTGTAAAACTTTCAAAGATTCGCGCGATATGATTTCGCGTCACAACTAAWATTATTTAAACTATCGTTACAGAATGGTCAAGATTATGCTGCGCATAAGACTGCGCATGACCGCATCAGAGAGGCTCAGATTCTCGCCAAACAATTYCCGTCKACTCAATTCGTAGCAGACAACATGGAYGACGATGCTATGCTGGCCTATGGTGCCCTTCCCGAGAGATTGTACATCATTCAAAATGGTGCCGTAGTGTAYGAAGGTGATATTGGGCCACGTGGATATTGTCCACAACAAGTACGTGATTGGCTGGATAAATATAGATTGCGTGAAAATAACAACTAACTTAGTTAACGATGATTGGATGAATTCCTCGATGTCAGTTGTGGGCTTCCTGTGTTACAGTATTCAGAGGAGGAATGGAGAACCTCTGCGTATAATGTCAACTGAGGACAGTAATTATTCACCACGATGTAATCACGTGAAAGTGAAGTGGACACATTTAGTATAGGTATTGTAGATATAAATCATAATAACTCATATATATTAGATAGCATCGAAAACGAGTCTCCTCGTGCTCAATCGTTGCCTTACTCATCGATTTTCCATTGGTATTGACACTTGCATAGAAAGAATGTGTCATTCTTTATCAATATCTTGAGTCACTCAAATGTATGTATGTAGCGTTTTTGTACTGTTCTCGATTGCTTGAAGACAGCCGTAAACGAAGCAAATATTCACTACGAAAACGCATGTGTGTGGGCAAGTCCTCAGTGTAATACACTAGGCTTAGCGAAATCGTTCGGTTTCTCACTATTTTTTTCCTAAAAACCTTAATTTGCTTAGAACAGCGATTTACACTGAGGTTGCCTAAGGTTAAACTAAGATTGTCTAATTTTTGCTCTTTAGCTTAATCCTGTTGATTCGTATATCTATTTTAGRCATTTTGGACTTAAAAAGACAAACTAGTCACATTTACAACATTATTTCAAGTGACTTTGTAACTAAATGACATAGAAAGAGGTCACAGATATACGAGATTCCTTTACATTCTATGCTCTAAAACTCCATAAATCTGGTAACGATTTATGATCTGTGTGTAAGGATAAACAAGGGCGGGAWAATGTGTTTCAGATTTGCTAATGATGACGACCAAAGAGAAAATATTGTACTTTTTGGTCTGATGTGAAAGCAATTCAAGGACAGCATTTTGTTTACTTGATTATCAGAAGGATTTCTTGCTTGATTTCTAGCTGAAAAGAGATTTGTKTGGAATGTATTTTGTAAAACGCCACATTGCCCATATTGCTCTAGTATTTTTCTACCACATTTAGCAAATGGCTTTATATTTTCGATTTATACGTGGTTATAAGTATCCAGACTTATAATAAATGTAGATATCACTATGTATATTATCTTGTGTTTGACCTTATTTGCTCTTCCTTTTGTAGTCGATATTCATCAGTCTTATGTKTCTTTCACTTTTTATTTCTCTTATTTCTTCTTCTTCTCAGTACTTTTCGTTAGTTGCCTAAGCCTGTGGGGGGAGGGGCTGTTTAGTGATTTCTTATCCCGTAATATTTGTTCWAGATGACACCATCTTTGTTCTTGGTCAGTGAGCGGTGGATTACAGGTCAGGCTACTGTTGCAAAAAATATATTTTCAAAAATCTCATGTCCGTCAAGAGGTTTTCACGGGTATTGATGTCATAAACAATTATCCGATGCGTATAAAATCTTTTTAGCCACAAAAGAATTCCCGAATAATTGGTTTATAGCTTTGTTACTGCTCTTAAGGCTCATGATTTAGGTTACAATAAAGTAAATACCAACTACAATRGGCTTTGCTTTAGTAAATAGAATTATGGTAATGACACACTACCATGTTATTAAGCAACGKTGTTGAAATTCAATGCAACATTTTAAGGAGTTTTGGGTACAATTAGCACATGACTCGGCAAAGCGATTGCTGTGGAAGATTTTTACATGGTCCAAGACTAATGTGACATAGAACTGATGAGTTTCAGAYCTTCGTGTTTGCCATCGGTTGTTTCTGTTGATGTCTCATCGCTTTCTGAAGACGAGCTTTCTTCTCAGTGATAGTATAGCAAGTTCTTGAAAGCCATTTAACGAYTTGTGAAAAAGGGAGTGCCAGTGGGGAATAGATTTTGAATAATRCTTTAGTTTCGACAACTTTTTACCAAATCAGAAAGCCAGGCATATGGCAKCCAAAAGCAAGTCGAAGACGAAATGTCTTGGCGCGGATCCGTCGTTAGGAAAGATGGGYCAAAGAATGATTAATGCAATGTTGAGAGAAGAGCGCATTGCAGATAGAGATCTACARGAAAAGTTGAAAGTCATTTCAGAGAAAGAACATAAAGCAATGGTAAAGCTTGGCTGTGATTCCCTGGACGTCAGACATGACCTGTCTCTTCATAGAGCGAGGTCTCCTAGTCCATTGTCATGGGAGAATACAAGTACTTCAGACTCTAAAGATCAAAATGATCAAAGTTGTGAAAGTTTGTCTCGTCCGAAACTAGGACGCAAAGCAATGAGTATGTTAACATTTTCAACAAAGCAAGAAAACATTGTACATGTAACTGATCTCAGACGTACAAACAGCGAGGAAGTTAGGAACAATAGTAAAATAACTCCTAAAAGTCCGACTATAGTTGTTAACAGGGACAACAAGGAACCTGACAAAGTTAATCAAAGTGAAGTGGATGCAAGTAAAGTTAAAAATTTAAGTTTGATTGACAACTCAGGCGAGGGAAAGCCGAGTTCGCTGAGATCACCTCGATTGCTTCAACGCAGACCAGTATCAGACATTAGCGCTTATAATGCTTCTCAACCATCTTCGTCTAACAATAATGACGAAGTATTTGTTGAACAGATATCCTTGCGGAAGGGTGTATGCAGTGATAAGCARTTTACACCAAAAGCACCTTCCACCCCACCCCCTGCCAGAGGAAATTTGAACGCTTTATCAGCAGATACAAGAAAACCTCGACCCTCCTCAGCACGATCCATAAGATCAAGGTCACCTGCCAGAGGGGCAGAGTGTCAAAGGATGGACCCTCCTCAGAATCTGAAGCCAAGAGGCCGTTCACCATCACCCTCCCCTATGCGGCTATCGGCAGACACTCCTATTGTAAATCTTGGCCGRAGAGGTTCGGCTCCTTCAAAGATCGATGCTAGCGTGCTACCCATCAATTCACCTCTCCGCAGGGCCCTTGGRACTACTGACGTCAGTCTTCGTCCAGGTTCGCATGAAGATTTGCGCAGACACATTTCGTCAACAGAGGAAGACTTGCAAGATCGCGTTTCAGTGTTTTTGAAAACGTTACAGAAAAAATGATACCGATRTAATTTACGTGKTTTTTTATATCTTTTACCATAGTCCCGTGAGAATATTGCATGTTGTTTGTCGGGAATTRAATATAAAGTACAACAACAATTTTAGTAATAATTTCACACTACAAAATTACAAAAATYCTTTGYCYTCGCAATTAGTTAACACTATTCGGGACGAGGGCGAAAGGGTAATCAGAAAACGAAAATGTTTATAAGTAATGGTAGTTTCGACAGATTGACAATGGGAAATTGCTTACAGGGGGGCGTTGTGTCATTTCAAGTAGATTCAGGTCTCATATCATTCCCTGACTGTTTGTTTATTGTTGCARGGATTAAGGGACTATGCCCTTCAATTCAATGAATCTTATCGAAAAGAATTTAAAAAAAACGGAATATGGTCTTGATTTAGTTAGCTYGYGAATATAGAAATCGTCYTTAACGCGCAGCGTTGTGAAGATGAAWCATGATTGGCTTCTATATTGGCCACTCATAAACTTATTACCATTTAGCGAGGAGCTACTTTTATCCGAGACGAACTGAACACATATACTCTACCACAGAATCTATGCCACGAAACAATATGACCGAACTAAATTTAATAATGACAATATTTTAGCATGAATAATTCCATTCAGGTTTTCCAATTAGAACAATTAAAATGGCCGGTTCGCTGGTGKCAGTTTTCAATAGAGACAGCCACAAAAATGTATACTTAATTAATTCGCACTCAAACATATACAAGTGGCTGTACTAAAATTAACTACAACGAAAACCACAAATTATGAMATGGATGGTGGCTCGTGTGTTTTGTAAACGTTTTGACCTGTGAGGCCGAGGAGCACCTTTCCGTGACCACCAGTGAAGATTAACTCACTTTTGAGCTTGTAAACCATCAAATATTTAAAATTCACAATTTTAAGTGCCACTCCCGATTTCTCAAATATGGAAGATGTAAAAATAGATTGATATATTTTTCGATGTCAGTGYTCTCTAAWTTTGTTTTATGGCCCGATTTAYGATGTTTGTCTTTTAGCATAAAGARAGATAACAACGTATWKTCTRTAATTTTTATCGCTTGTCGCAATTTCAAAATATTACTTKCTTGTTTTACCGGAAAAGAGTTTTTCTTTGGTTAATTATTGATATTKGGCATACGTGAGAAAAAAATTMAATCGGTGTAGTTAAAGCCGCAGTAGTGAGCTTGTATATTTGTATGTATAACGTAGCGAGTTGTTGTGTTTCTATTTTTGAACTGTATATAACCTTTCTTATCTTTCCACTTCTCTGTAGTTTCGAAAACAAAAAACATTTTGTTTGGAAATATTTCCGGAATTGWAAAAAGTTAGGRATTTGAAGCATTCTTTTCAATAATAAGTCTTTAAAAAAGTATGCACTCCATTTAAGAATTTAAATAAAATAAAATTTTACGTTTTTATTCAAAAAAATGTAATGTTTTTAACTGTTTTTGGTCCTTTCAGTCTCGAAAGTTGATTTTTTTTACAAGTCCATTGAGTCGTCACGTGCAGCTAAGACGTAGACCAAAGTGCACTGAAGATACAGGTTGGACACGTTGAACGGGTTCTTAACCAATCAGAAGCCACGTCGAGTTCGTTCTTATGGGCTCGTTGTAAACATATCGTAATCTAAATCACGAGGGCAAAGCGAGAAATATTGTATTGTTTTCTCTCGGTGATACACGAGGATTTGGCTCCCTACAGGTCTTCCCTAGTAGCTACACGTACAGACACAAGGTACAGACAAGTTTTGTTTTGATACTTTTTTCAGCGATTCTTTCGTATATTTATACTACTTTATAACTTAATGTCTACATTCATTTGCTGTTGTTAAACTCAATTTTCCTTGGCTTGTTTTACTTGGTATAGTTCAAGAAGAAAAAAAAATACCAGGGAATATTTTATGTATTGTTTGATCTATTATAGAACTTCTTCAAACCTTTAATTTCCCGAACATGGCTGAGGAAGAAAAAGCCGCCGAAGTTACCCAACCGCTCACTACCGGCGAAGACGAAAATGGCGAAGTTCCTAAGGTAGCGATTTTAGATGACTCGCAAGTGAAGTTAAAGAAGGAAGTTAGCGTTCTAAATGGCGTTGGTTTAGTCGTTGGGGTCATGATAGGCTCTGGTATTTTTATTTCACCGAAAGGAGTACTAAAGCAAGTGGATTCTGTAGGATTGAGTCTTCTAATTTGGGCAGGATGTGGTCTTCTGTCGCTTTTCGGTTCACTCTGCTACTGTGAAATGGGTACAATGATTCCTAAGTCAGGAGCTGAGTACTCGTATCTTAAACATGCCTTTGGCCCGCTGCCTGGATTTCTGTACAGTTGGACACTTGCTCTTATCATCAGGCCTTCATCCATCGCAATAGTCAGTTTGACTTTTGCCCGCTATGTCACACAACCGTTCTTCCCAAACTGTGAAATCAGTCCTCTTCCAGTGCGAAAAGTTCTTGCTGCAGCATGTATCGGTAAGTTAAAGTATGTTCAATAAAAATTGTTTGATATTTGGGATCTTYTGTTTATGGGGTAAATGTCAGTACAGAATAGCGTACACAGAGACTGGGAAGGAAGAACATTRTTACTATAAAACCTTCCATTGTATGCCACGTCGAAGCACAACGAGTTATTCCATGCGTGAAATGGCGTTTGTAAGAATCCCCTGCTTCTTGATACCAGTGTCAGATTTTACTATCATATCCAACTGATTTACTTAATTTAAATATAGTCGATCAATATAAATTATTTTCATTCAAACAGAAATCTCGAATATCTWGTAAAAAATGTATGGTATTGCATCAGCCGCGCGMCTTATGGTAATATATGGAAATTTCTTAGATCTAGCGTGGGCAAAAGGTGGCTCTCAAAACACTAGGTTTTTCTCCAAAATGGTATGRATCACTCTTGTATTACGAAGATATCAGATTATTCTAGCCCGGCTTTTAATGAACAAGTCCACAATGTTTTGGTAAAGGACTCTGGATTGTGGAGTATAGATTGCGCGCGAAAATCGTGTCTGGCCGATCATCGTATAAGCTGATATTAATCGACGYGTAATCACTTTGGATTATAAATAAAATTAAGTGGTWAACAAAAGTCTTTTATTTTAAATAAAAAGAAGGGAATTATGTTTTGTCGTTTTTGACGGTGAAAATGTTTGTAGCGCATAGTTAATGAGGCGTAACAGACTGACAATGTAAATTGAATTTCAAGTGATCTTCTACATGGGTAATTATTTTGGTGTATCTGAAATGTGTGTTTATTGTAAGGATTTTGAAGCAGGATTGTCCCTACATAACATATGAGAAGATGGAGTTTTCGATTCTCTATGTAAATATTAATAATCGTCAGATCCACACAAGAATGGGTTTGGTCATATAATTAATTACGATCGATTATTTGCACAGATCGMCGATTTAATTTGCYTACAAGGTCGAATTGTTTGTACTTTGTACAGTTCAGTAATAGAACGTTTGCGGAAATATAACGAAACATCATCCAAGATCTATAATAAGCTGAAATTGTCTCAAGATTCACGCTATGCTGTAACGCAATGCTCSCCTTCATGGACCTGCACGCCCAACATTTTAATTATTTTCGAATGTCATTTAAACGCCAGTAAGTCTATGGTTCAGAGATAACCCTATTCATAATTGAGAGATACTGTATGGATTCTATATATTTTGTGCGACCCGCCTTTACCTCGTAAATTCCAGTCTATAAACCTACTTTTGTCGAGCTGCTATGATCGTAAACACATTCGAGAAAACAGCAGATGGCACGCACGCAAAACATCTATTCAAAATSGTTAGGTAATGAAGTGTCTCGGAAGGCAAACCACTGAAAAGAAGCTTCATTTGAAGATTAGGGTTTCATTGCCTCGGGGMTGAAGAATGTTGACAATAAAAATATACAAGAACTAAACTAGAAAGACTATGTTTATGATAACTATCATTCTTCTTATCTTTCATCCATGAATTAATCAKCATAAGCAATTTAAGTGGACAAGTGTAAAATAAAGTTGCTTTCAAATGATTTTGGCGTAGCCCGAGTACACGTGCCAAAGGTCGTATTTGAGGTCACGTGCGACAGGTCCCTGCGATTGCGCGAACGACTTTCACAACTTTTTAGCGATCATTGTGATTTTGACGTGAATATATGAACCAGTCTAAAAACATCGTGCGAAAAACATATTCTCTCTGTTTTGTTCAGACAGCGTTCTGGTTTTACCACTAGCTRATATTGAATTTTAATACAAGCTTTTTGTCTAGTGTGGATTTGATGTTTTCATCTATTTATTTCAGCTGTGACAATATTCATTAACTGCGGAAGTGTAAAGTGGGCCACGCGTATTACCGACAGTTTTACTYTGGGAAAGCTGGTCGCCATAGCAATCCTTGTTATTATTGGAATCATAACACTTGCACAAGGTAAGTGCACTTGTTTCACGTGGTACCTGTGACAGCCAATCATATGTATTTACATATGGTGTAATAATGCCCGTGAATATTTGCTCAAGTATCGCTCTGTTTCGTAACTTTTTGATTTTTTTTATCCATTTTTCTCGCTCGGTTTTTCTTTGTCTTCCCTTTCTGTCCCTTTCCTTTTTGATTCGATTCTTTGTTTGCAGTTGTGTATTTTCCTGTATTTTCCTGTATTTTCATTTTTTTCTCTATTCATTCGTTTTCTCATATTTTGTTGATATTTTAGGGCACGTTGAACATTTACAGGATCCTTTTGAGGGTAGTAACACTAGTCCTGCAGCGATTGGTCTTGCTTTCTACTCTGGACTATGGGCCTATGACGGGTGGTATGTCATCGTCCTCGTAAAAACGTATCTAAATTTTATATTTTAATTTTTAACTTGTCATTTTCAGGAACGCCCTTAACTTTGTTACTGAAGAAATGAAAAATCCTGCCAGGTTAGTGTTTATTTGTTTTTTTGTTTTTTTGCCGATCAATAATTTATTCAACCTTATATCTTCGTGAGTTTCACAAATGTTGTGCGTAAAACTAGACGCGTTTTCGGTCCAATTTGGAGTCCAATTTGAACATTGTTCAAATGTGCGCGTCGACAAATTCGCCATGTACATTATAAAAAGATGTCTCATATTCGCGTGGGGCCGTTGAGAGGGCGTTAGTGCTCATGTCCGGACTAAAGGGGAACTTCAGTGTAACGTGCATGYACATTACGTCTACAGGGATTTACCACGTGCTCTGATGATTGGYATTCCCTTGGTAACCATCTGTTATCTGCTGACCAATATCGCTTACATCGCTGTCGTTGGAGGCGATGGAATCCTCTCGTCAGGAGCTGTTGCCATGGTAAGATTTGTCTTTACCTTGTGTTAGTTGTAGTTGTTGTTTTAGGTTCAAAGTTCTTATCTAAAACCGTTTCGTTCTCTTATAGACTGTAGGTGATATGAAACTCGGACCCATGGCTTGGGTCATCCCAATCTTTGTCGCTTGTTCGACGTTTGGCTGTGTCAACGGACTGGCTTTTAGCGGTGCCAGGTAGGATTGCGTGACCATGACTATTGGATTGCGTTATCTCTACTAAATAAACGGTTTTTATAGGCTTGTTTATACGGCTGCACGAAATGGTCACATGCCCAAGTTACTAGCGATGATCCACACGAAAAGACGAACGCCCATGCCCTCCATTATATTTATGGTAAGTTAATTATGATGAGGATGAGTTGATGTCGTTCAACTTATTCTCAAACTCGCTATTCGATACCATTAAATAAAAACCGCAAGAGTGCTCCCAAGACCATGCGTTTGCCAGTGAAAGAGCCGGCTCTCTAGTATAACTAGCTATTATATCATGYGTGTTAATGTATTTCTACTCTACTTATTTGTTATAACCAATTCTTGTATTAATCAAATAATACATTTTTTTCCTCAGAACGTCATTGCTTTGGTGATGTTGATCCCAGATTCCAGTCAATTTAGTACKTTAGTCAATTACTTCAGCTTCGCTGCGTGGCTGTCWTACTTTGCTGTCTTCGTAGCTCTTATTTACTTGAGATGGAAAGAACCAGATGCTAAACGGCCATATAGGGTATATAGGAACTTAAAAGACCCAGTACAAGGGCGTCGTTAAATATTATGTCCCGGGCACAAATAGACCTCTAAAGCTTTTACGCCATGTACCRTATACGCAATGCATTGTAGGACATGTTTTGGACAGAACATGGCGGATTTCTTTTGTTTTCTCTTGAAACTGAGCCCACAATGCATTGAAAATTAAGTAGTGACGTTAAAGTTCAGAAGTCTATTTAGTACACATTTTGTAACGTGCTAAAATGTGTCCACGACTTGAAGTTGCTTGTTAAAGCTGATTTACACGGCACGATTGTCTCGTGCGATTTGTAGTATACAACTTGAATCGCGCAGTGTAAATGCCACTACGGCTTGTCTACAGCAGTCGTACGCAACCTACGACTTTTAGTAGGATTTTGAACCACTGCTTAAAATCCTACGACTTGTAGTAGGAAAATCGTATACTACGAGTCGCACGCGACAAATCGTACCGTGTAAATCAGCCTTAATTAGTGGGATCTCTGTTTGGAACTTTTTTGGGTTTCCTGTGTACCAYGTGTCTCTAATGAATTGTATTTGTTTATGTAGGTTTGGATAATCATACCGATTGTATCTGCATTGATTGCGCTCTATCTACTCATCACACCTTTTACAAAAGAACCCATGGAGTCAAGCCTTGCACTCTTCTTTATACTTCTCGGGGTACCTGTGTACTTTATTTTCAGCAAGTAYGACCTRTTAGGAAAGTGCGGATTCTGTGGTAAGTTAAAAGAGTKGAGCTAGATATTTCATTTTATTGCAGACGAAGACGCCATTCGTACCAGTTATACGAGACTGGTTCGTTTGCAATAAGTTTGAATGCGGTTGCGCATCTGGAAGACCTCTAATTTATATTTAAAAAATGAAGGTGTAAAGTATATCATGGATATTTCTGTATTGCTGATTTTCGATGTTATTTAACCTTTTTTACAGCTAAGTTTACTTATTATCTTCAAACGCTCTGTGACCTGGCCGTCGAGGAGAATGGAGTGGAGGAGGAAGAAGATTGATAAGCAGCGGTTATCCCCAACTAAATGTATTATGTCGTTAAGAGAATTCCACAARAGCCAAACAGCTCGTTAATTGTTTATTTGGAGCTGAAGGTACCATGCAAGAAAGGCGTCTAAARGGGAACAGGACGATGTTAAATAAGTTAATTTATATGGAAATGAAAATCCCAGAGACACTTATTAGAACTGTATTTATCTATTTTTACGTCAAAAATAGGAAAAATAAGAGTATTTTCTATTTTTATATTAAAAGTATAAGAAGTTCTGAGTAAGTGTCTCTTCGACGCAATTTCATTGAGAAAAGAAATTAGTTATTAATTCATTTAAATTTCAATAGTCGTTAAGTTTTAAGTTAAACTAAAAATGAATATAGGAGAGAAAGTAAATCATTTTCTAGTGAAAGAATTGAAGCCCTGCCTGAAACGCCTTGGCTCCACAGTTCAGGAAGAAAGGGAAACAACGGTCGCAGTGTACGGCCTTCCCAGTAGTTTYTATCATTCAAAACTTTTGTCCGAAGTCACCATAGTGACCAAAATATCTCTCAAATACGCGGTTTCATTCGTGGTTAATAAAAACAACTCTAGTTAAATATCAATGTGCATATATATATCATTTTCCATGTTTGCGGTTTTAACTTTTCCTAGGGCATAGACTTCTCACGAGATAGATTTTTAACAATAAGAAATATAAGGCAAAGTGTGAATGAAGTTATCAGCTGTATATCTGCTAGATAAGCATTTAATCAGCGGTATTCACCCGTCGTACAACCGACCCCAGACGTTTGTCATAACAAAACAAACCATCGTAAAGGTACTCGGATGTCGACTGGTAAATACTGTGGAAGACTAGATATAGCACTGACCGACAGGCATAAATACATTGTAAAACGAGTGAAAAACGTTCTCCCATTCATAAAGTMCAATGATAAGATAATAGTTTTGTAGATAGGTTATCCTTTGTATTGTAAGATAATTACTGCARGGTGGGGTCAGATAGTAAGACATGTTGGGTAATATAAATGCATCAAGTATTGCAAAAGATTATAATATTGTAAAATTTTTACATCGTTGGCGCGTGTCACATCGAGGGGAAGGATTAGAGAGGTCGCATAGTTTTATCGAACCCTTCTCAGCTTTGCAATAAAAGCTTTGTAATAAAAAGTGAGGAGGGTTGGAAGTATTTAAGAACAAGTTGTTTAGGGCCAACACAGGTAGCAACTAAATTTGATTAGGTGTAAAGATATATTATTTATTGATTTTTTTTATAATGATGTTTATTCGTTACTCCTGCTCGGTTCCCATGATTTCCGGTTGTTAGTATAACAAAAGAGGACGGCGTAGAGAGGAAAAAAACTTGACTTCTTGTAGTTGGTAGTCCCGTCAACGATGTGACACTCGCCAATTGCATATTCGTGATTATTATACGAATAATAAAACAAAGAACTGTGACTTGTTTACTGTAAGTACTTTTTTTTCTCGTGATAATGTGACAAACTGATGAATGGCAGTTTTGAACGACACATGCCTAAATAAGAGGTATGAGCTAAAAAAGGCGCGCCTTCCCCGAGCTCGGTGCACCCATATCACGGCATTCT